CGGCCTCCTTGATCAAGAGGACAGGTGACCCACCAGAATTACAGGACATTTTGAGACATGCTCATAGTCCCCTGGAACTAGTCAACCTAGGAGGGCAAGGAGCAAAAACTGTCCTTTATGTCCCTCTGACCAAATTATTATAGACCTCAAAGTATGTCTGTTAAATACCTAAGAAGGTTAGTTCCATCAGTCTGGTATTTTTAATTACTGTGTGTCATGTAGATAAATCTTGGGCAAAGACCAGTTGTTCTCAGATAAACCTTACCTAGACATATATTTCTTGATCTGCTATGTACAATTTGTCAGTACGTTGTAGGAGTAATATGGTTCCCTCTGGTTTTCAAAACTAGCTAGGCATTATTTATCTCTCGCATTGTCTCACCCCTCCATCATGGTTTTCCCACTTAAGGTGCCCCTATTTCCCCCTTTCTCTATTACTAATACCCTTCTCCTATTGTCCTACCTCTCTTGAGCTTCTTGACTCTGATAAATAAGTATGCAACCAGACATAACTATAGGAACCAGGATAATGGAAAGGAAACAGGGAGGTAAAGGAAAAAAATAACCTGAAAGAGAAGAACAGTAGGAAACAGGCCTTAGTAAGGGAGATATGGATAAAAATTGGGTTAGTTTAAGGGAGGGGAGAGGGAAGGGTATATAAGTAAACATTTATTTTAAAAGCACCAACATTTTAAAAAAATAAAGTGGAGTAAATAAATGAACAGATAGGTAACTGCCAAAAATAATGTCTCCAGTCAATGATGACTTGGGAAGCAGAATGGGGCCAGGCTCTGTGAGTAATCTGGAGAAGCTTGGTCCCCTTGTCAAGTTTACTCTAACAGGGGGACAGCTGATGGCCTTAGTATTGTGACACAAAAGAAAGAGGCGGCTGTCACTTCTTATCTTTTAGAATCAACAGCAAGCAGCATTCACTTATCCACTGGTAGTTGTACTTTCTGATGACTGCTTGTGTTGAGACTCCAGAAATGTTCTGTCATCTTCAAAAACTGACTTTAGGTTTGTGGCAGAGAGAAGATTCCTCCTTTAATCCTTCTTCTATAGCTTTTTAAAGATATATTTGTATCTATTGAAGAGGAAAAGACAGCTGTTTCTCTCTACTGCACACTATCATGCTAAACTGAGGAGGAAACAATTATTTCATTCCATTTGAGTCCTTTATTGAATAACCCAAAGGTATAAATGGCCTTTGTAAAAGGCAAAGCATAATATAGACGGACAGGGTGATTACTAAAGAAAAGAGATACTTGTAGCATACTATAAGAATATTTTCCCTCTTATTTTTGCTCTTAAAACTCTAATTTCTGTTTTAGATCTAGAAGGTTTTGACTCCGTGGTATCATCTACTGAGAAACTCAGTCACCCAACTACAAGCAGACCAAAAGCTACAGGGAGGCGGCCTCCATCCCAGTCACTCACGTCTGTAAGTATCTCTTTACTTCTTTACAGCTAAAAAGTAAAAAGGATTGGAGAGTCTCGCTAAAGACACTTTAGTGAGCAGATAACTGGAGACTCCCCAGAAGAGGGAGAGGAGACCACCAGATGTACTGCCAAGGATCAGTAATTGATTCTTTTTGAATCAAGCGGTATTTCTTTCTTTCTGATTGCTCTTTGTGTTTCTGTCAGCAAGATGGCATTCCCTACTTCCCACTTTCCTTCTGTCTCTTTCTAGACCAGTTCTTGCTTGAACCTGAAATGAAATTGGTATGTGAAAGAAGAAAAAGAGAATGGGGCTATTTTGGTCTATAAACAAGTCAGAGCTTTACTTAATAAAGATCTGCCACTATGTAGTATAAGATAGTGGCCTTTATCTTCCCAAACCCATCATCAGCCTACCTCCATGGAAACTCATGCAGACCCTGAGGGGGTTGTTTTTAACCTAATGAGGCATCTGCTCGTGTAGAAGAGATCAATCAGAACACTCCTGATAACCTGTAGAGGGCTGTTTTTGTTTCTTCGTTTGGGTAATTTTGAATAACTTTTTATTGCAAATCTATTATATGTGTATTGTGCCAAATTTGAGCAACACAACACATAAGGAAGAAAGTAAGTCATCTCTATTCCTGCCCCTGAAGCAAAGAACTGATAACTTTTTGCTATATATTCCTGAGCTTTTTAAAAACTTCTGTTTGTATATATACAGAATTGTCCAAAACTGGGATCATATAGTACATACTGTTTTGGAACTTGCTTCAGCCTGCACATTTAAACTGCAGACTTTTCTCCCAAATATTGCCCATTCTTCCAGAACAACATATTTAATGGCTGCTTACTTTCCTAAGATGTGAGTATATGAGAGTTTGTCTAGTGAGTATGCTATTATTGAATACTGATGATGATTCCAGTTCCTGCTTATAAACAATACTCAAATGAATGTCACTGTTGAAAAAATCTTAATGTTCCAGAATTGTTCATTTAGGTATAATAAGCTTTCTGAATTTGGGTCATTGGAAAATGCATGCTTTATTATTGCCGTAAGTTGCAAACTTGCCCTACACAAAGGTTAAATTTACCTTCCACAGCAGAGAGAGAGAGAGAGAGAGAGAGAGAGAGAGAGAGAGAGAGAGAGAGATCCATTTGTCTGCCTATCTATCATCTACCAGTCAGTCTCAGTCTGTCTGTCACATTGCCCTGTCCTTTGTAGCCTAAAGCCTTTTAACCTCCACCCAGATACATGAAGGAACTTAAACTTTGGCAGGTTTCTCAGAATACTTTTTTTTTTTTTTTTTACCTCACCAGTAATCTCATCTGAGCTTTCATCATTTAGAGAAAAAAAAAAGCCACTTCCTTTTTGAGCCCTTTCTCTCATATGGACCAAGTCTGAAAGCATGGTTTGAGTTCTTCCTTATGCAAAACACACCTAAGTTTGTTGATATCTTTTTGAGAGAAAGACTTGAAAAAGTGGTTTCCTTTTTACTCTTTCAAAGTTCTATAGTAACCCTACCTTCTTCTCCTTCTCCTTCTCATCCTCCCTCTCCGAACATGCACATACACACCCAACCTATCTGATCGCTTCTTGGCATGCTGCATTTCAGTTTCTCAACCCTACCTCTTCTGCCTTCTTTGTAAATCCTTCATCATTTTTTTCTTCCAAATTCTCTTAAACATTTTAAGGTTTAAAGAGCTTTGTGCCTTCCGTAATTAAATACAGTGGTTCAAATGACTCCCCCTTAGTTCATACATATAGTATAGAAAAGTACGTGTGTTTTGGGGAGACCAAGTAAAGGTAGCTCATCTTCACCTGCTTTTAGACTATGCAGTTGTTTATTTACTCATTCAACTCGTTCAGATATTCACAGACATCTATCCCCTGTGTACTGGGCACTGTTCGTGGTGCCAGGGATACAGCTGGTAAGCAGAAGTACATGGCCACTGCCTGCAAGAAACTTATTATGGTGACTCATGAATAGCATCTTATAGAGAGTGATTTTTATTTGGACTTAGAATACTTGGGTGCTTTAATGATATATGATGACCATATTCTCTTCCCTTCTCATCCATCTCCATTCGGATGTACAGATTGACTTCCTGTTCATTCTTCTTAAAATTAGCACCTGTTCGGTTTTCATAGCAAATAGGATTCGTGAATAAGGATATATTCCTCCAAGTCCACTGGGAGGATAATTGATGAAACACTAGTCATGTTCCGCAGCCTGAGGCCATTCATTCTCATTTAAACTATTCATTTTTATAAAATTCAAAGAGCAAGTTTTGACTAGAAGCTCTTGCAATACAGGTTGAATAAAATCTTGAAAGGATCTGTGCATTGTATGATGATTAAGCAGTTAAGCCTAGATTAATTAAAAAAAACACTTGGTGTGTGTATTTGGGGTTATATTAGGTCATGGGATTTTCAGATTAAATGAAGATTAACAAATACAATTTCTTGAAGCAAAAACTTGGCTTAAAAATTGCCCCAAATATATTAAGTCTTTGTCTTAGTAAAAAGAATAAAACACTTACTTGTGGGTATAATTTTTCCATTCTATTTAAATGATAATTCTAGGAACTATTTTTCTGCCCTAGGGTAGAAAGCAAAAGAAGGAGAGTGAGGCTGAGCTCACCCCAACATATTTCTAGAAGATTTTTCATTTAAAAAGATTCCTTACAATGGGAACTCTGATTTTCATTTGTTTTGTTCTAAAATAGGGCGATTTTCACTACGGAATTATTTCCAACCAAGGGAATTCTGGAAAATTGCTCACCATTCCTCCAGCTTTTGGGTGTCTTCACAGTGAGGCAGAAAGGGCAGGGGTGTTGGCCCATATTTTACCCGGTGATGCTGCCTTTCTGTAAATAGGATTTAGCAAATACACTATGAAATGGATATTTACTGTCCACAGTAATGACAACAGAGATTTAGTAGCAGGTATCAAAGGAGAGGGGAGCTTGTGCTAGGGGACAGTGCTCTGCTCTAGGGCTGTGAAAAGGTTAGTCACTGGTGGTCACTTGCCTATAGAAATGGTTGCCTCTCAGATCCATCCTTTAAGGCACTTCGATATTCAACACACGTAGTGATCCTGAATCAAGAGTGAAGGAATAGGATGAGGAAGGGATGAAGGAGAAGAGGATAAGAGTCAGCTTCCCACTGACTGTGTTCTAGCCCCACAAGGGTGGGGACCACATGCGGCATGTCATTATTCAGTCTGCAGTACCAGCTCAATGTAAGGCATGCAATAACAAGTGTTTGGCGAAAGGTGGGAGTAGGAAAGGATGGACAAGAGATGCTTACATGGCTGAAGTGATTAATGAACATCAGGGGATAGCTCCCTACTTTCACTCTTTGCTGCTTGATCCAAGCCCTGCCCCTAACTAGCCATATGTCTACTGGCAGTAAGCAGATAACAGCACACTTTCTGCCTCACAGGGTTAGAGCAAGGAGACAGATAAAATAGAAGTGCTGAGTGCTTTGAGAAGCAAACAGCATCATATTAACAAAGCTGTGTCAGTAAGATATGATTCTGACAAAGGCATTTTCTTTTGGCTTTATCCAGTCCTCCCTTTCAAGCCCCGATATCTTTGACTCCCCAAGTCCCGAAGAAGATAAAGAGGAACACATTTCGCTTGCGCACAGAGGAATAGACGTGTCAAAGAAGACTTCCAAGACTGTTACCATATCCCAAGTGAGTGACCAGCCAGGGTGAGGTGTCCCTGCCCCTTCCATGCATGTGTTAACAATGGGTTTTAAAGCAGGCAAGCTAAACAATGTGGATGTTTGTCATTCTTTAGCGACAGTGATTACTGTAGTCATCAGAATCCTTAAGGCATAATACAGAGTCTCTAAAACTGGGCAGAATCCCTGAGCTGCAAATTCAGTTTATTCCTCATGGTTTCTCTTGTAGTTGGATCTCTTTATATGCTGTCACATACACATGCGCAAATGCCATCACATGCTGCCGCCACAACCTAATCAACTTTAAAAAAAGATCTGTGGAATATTTAGATAGACTACATTAAATACTATGCTCTCTACTCATAGATCTTGTCTTTTGTGTTCAAAACTGGCAAAAAAATTGTTGGAAGATTTCTTTTAATTTTATTTTTAATATTTACTTATGTATATGTGTCAGTGCCTGAATACACACACACACACACACACACACACACACACACACACACACACACACACACGCACATCACGCATGTGCAGAGGTCGAAAGAGTGTGTCAGATCCCCTGGAACTGCAGTTACATGTGATTGTAAGCCACCAGTGAAGGTGCTGGGAACTGAACCCAGGTCCTCTTCAAAAGCAGTAAGCACTCTTAACTGGCCCATCTCTCCAGGCTCTGGAAGACTTATACTGACATGGTCTCTTAAAAGTCAAATTAGGGACTGGAGAGATGGCTCAACGGTTAAGAACACTGACTGTTCTTGCAGAAGACCTGGGTTCGAATCCCAGTACCCCACATGGCAGCTAACAACTCTCCGTAACTCCATTTCCAAGGGATCCAACAGCCTCTTCTGTCCCCTGCGGGCATTGTACAACACGGGTGCACCTACATACATGCAGGCAATACATGCATACACATAAAATAAAAATAATAAAATATTTTTTAAAGTCAAATTAGATTCTTATTCTAGGATAAATTGATAGTTTATAGCAAGCATTTTAATTTCATTACATGCCTAGAGAATGGCATATCTGCTTTAAGTTAATTTTTTTGTGAGAAACAAAGCAAACATTATTGTGGTGAATACCTGCAGTCCCAGCTATTGGGGAAGCTGAGATGGGAGGACTCACTTGATGCTGGGAGCTCGAGACTAGCCTGGCCTGTGTAACACCCCCCCCCCATCTCCAGAAAGAGAGGGGCGTATACAGATAGAGACAGAGAGACAAGAAGAAAGAAACCCACAGAGACAGAACGGGAGAGAAAGGGATAGTAAGTGCAATGGTGACAGTGGAAGAGCACATGCTTAGAGCGTGCAAAGTCCAGGGTGTGATTCCCACCAACAAAACAGACATTGTTTACCTACTGCATGCAGTTAGTTCAAAGAGGAAGCCTCCTATATGAATTCCGTTCTTCCTGTAAATAAATGAAGACTACAAAATCTCATCATCTTCTAGTACTAAGGAACCCAAAACTAGGATTATTTTCTTGGAACATTAGCTACATTTTATGTTTAGAAGCAGAAAACTATAGTCATTTGAAGCAGGAATTGGCACAAGGAAATCGAAGATTAGATGGGATTTTCCTTCTCATAGATTCAAGCATTTGCATTATAGATTTTCTTAAGAATCTACTACAGTAAGCAAAACATGGTTCTACAAAACAGATAAATTTTAATGATCCATAAAACTGAGGATCTTTCCTCATAAAGGATTCTATTTACTTTAGTTGGATTTAGACCCGCGGTGGTGGTGGTTGTTTTGTTTTTGTTTTGTTTTGTGTTCTGGTGACCATAGGTACACCTTTAGTTTCCTTTCTCTGGCATTCCTGGGATGTCTCTCCAGTGACATCTACTGGTGGTCAGTGACTTTTCATGTTTCTGATTTGCACAGCTCTGTTCTATTAATTAGCCTATTTCACTTCCCTGGAGTTGTCAGGTTGTGGTTTTCATTTCACTCTTCGAGAAATTCCACTTTAACTAATTTGATCAAGGAGTGTCGTGACCTATACTCTGTGAAGGACCAAAAAATGACTTGTTAGCTGAAATGGGCTGGTCTGAGAGAGTCAGTCAGCTGAGAAATGCCAAAAGAAGTATTGATTCTAGAAGTATCTGGAAACCAGTATTGTGGGCACAGGTGGGTCATGAGACAAAAGAGAGGATGCAAGATGGGAAATGGAAGAAGACATAAGCCCTGGATTATAGAATCAAGCAAAGAAAGTAATAGAAGACCACGTCTTCAGACTTGGTCAGCCACAGTCATAGTCACAGTGCTGGGTGGAAGATACAGCTGTAATTGAATTCCAGTTCTGCTGGTGATGAACACTGAGATGTGGGGTTATTCCAGGAGTTCTACAAGCCTCAGTTTCCTGCTTGGTACAGTGAGTGCCACTTGATCCCTGTTTACATTGTAGAGCTGATGTCCATGTGCGATCACAGCTCCATAAATGTCAGTTCCTCTCCCCTTACACTGTAACTGCTACTAACAACAAGGCTCAGGCTGGCTGAGTGCTGTCTCCCTGGCAGCAGAGAGTGCTTTTCCTCAATGGTAACTTGGCAGAGAAAAGGCGAACAGAGAGACTGGGAACGATGGCCCATCTGCTTTTGGCTCACTCTGCCCAGTCTCTGCCTCTAGCACAGCCTGAATCCAGACTCTCCCTTCTTGCTGCCATGCCAGCCAAGCCCCTTCTTGGCGCCTTCCCTGGGATGGCCGACTGAGTGCCTGCTGCTGGAGGAGGTCCTATGGTTGCTGTGCCAAACTTCACCATCAGCCTCAGCTTCTGCCCTGTCACCCTCTCTGCTCCCAAAGTTCTAGCCTACTACTTTGCCTTGCCCCCATCTCCTACCTACTTACTTGCACCTGCCAATGTTTCTCTACTGGGCCTGACAGCTACTCATGTTCCTTTCCACACAAGACTGACCCACACCTTCTCCTGGCTTCCTCAGGACACCTCTCCACCGGGCCTCTCTTCCCTCTCTCCATCTTCAGCCTGACCCTTCACTCACTTCTCCCCCAGCATTGTGTGGATCTCAGGGTCTCACTCATCTGTGAAAGCAAACAAAACCCTTACATCCTAGCTCCTCCTGAGGCTTCTTTATGAGTTCACACCCTTGCTCTACCATCTTCCTTCCTCAGCCAAACTTTTGAAAAGAGTCCTCAAATTGTCAGCCTTGTCCATGGGCTCCCATTGAGAACGTGGTTGCCCACCTTTGAGTTACTGTCATCTCCATTGTGACACAAAATGGGCTCCAATTTCCCCTCAGCACTCTTGGCCCACTAATCCATTTTTTTTCCTTTCTGGAAACTCTTCTAGGGGCTTCCCCATAAGCCAAGCCCCTCTACTTGTCCTTCTTCATTCTCTCATTATGCCTTTCTAGTTGTCAAAAGCGCCCTCTCCCCCTCCCTTTCTCTCTTACTCCCTCTCCCTCTTCTCTTCTTGCCTCTTCAATTTGGGGATTCCTCAGGTTCTACCATTGGACCTTTGTTCGTCTTGTCTTATCTATACCCATGCTTTCCACTTTAGCCCAGCTCACTCTTTTAGTGGCTCTGCCCACTAGGCACACCCTCTCAGCCATCCCTCGGGCTCATAAAATTCAAAAACTGAAATGAAAGACCCAATCTCTGCCTGATTGTTCCCTCCCCACCCATGGCCTTATACTTCAGATTTTACTGTCTATAACCTATGCAGGACCTCATCTCTTTGACCACAAGGGTTCTCTGCTCTGTGAGGTCAGGGACTCCATCAGCCTCACCCACTCTCCACCCTAGTACCAGGAATGATGCTTAATGCCCTTAGATGAGCCTGACCTTCCCCCCATTTCTCTCAAAATAATCTTCTTGGCCATTTCCCAGGTCAGATGCTCAACAGTTTCCAGCTTGCATTGTATCAGAGTCTCAGTTCTGTCCCACTCCAGACCTGCCACCTCTCAGGCCTTCCTGCCCCCAGAGTGATCATGAGCAGGGTGTACAATTAATGGAACCAGCCACTTCTCCTTCCCCTACCTTACTTTCTCCTGCCCTCTCTTAACCCAGCCATGCTTCCAACTAGCACGCTTTGTTCCCAGGTTAGCCTTCCCATCTCCTACAGCCGCTTTCTCCAACACTCTTGTTCCTCTAACCCCCTACAGGAAGGGACATTAGTTGCTCCCTCCCGCTCCCTTCCTTCCTGGACTGTGGCTGCTTTAATATGTTTCTGGGGTTCTCTGTGCTTCTTCCCTCTTGTGCAGTCTCCCCCACCCCCCATGCTGCAGTGTAGTAATCCGTCTTGTCTGCCTGTGCTCCACTGGGTTCTATGCTTCTAAGGGTAGGAGAATGTGTTGCTCACTTCAGTATTTATAGTACCTGGCAAGAAGTTTGGTATCTCTGTGTGTTTATGAAACTAGTCAGGGACTGTCTGTCCAGAAGAAGATGAAATTTAAAGTGCATACAGGTAGGGGCTGGAGAGATAGCTCAGTGGTTAACAACAGTGGTTGTTCTTGCAGAAGACCTGGGTTCGAATCCCAGCACCTACATGGCAGCTAACAGCTGCCCGTAACCCCAGTCCCAGGGAATCCGACAGCCTCTTCCAACCTCCATGGGCATTGCACAACACGGGTGCACTTACCTACGTGCAGGCAATACATGCATACACATAAAATAAAAATAAATAAAAATTTGAAAAATGCATACAGGTAGTACTTGGGTAGGGGTCTGTCTGTACCATGTTGGCTATGGATGGCTTATAGATGAAAGAACAAATAGACTGTATGGAGAGAGCTGAGGGTAGAGTAGTGAAGGAGGGTCTTACTCACCAGGACAGGGAGGCACTCCCTCCATAGACCCCTGGCTCTGAAGCCTCTCCACCTTCCCTTTTCACAGGTGTCTGACAACAAGGCATCCCTGCCACCCAAGCCAGGGACCATGGCAGCTGGCAGCAGTGGGCCAGCCTCTCTATCTTCAGTGGCATCCTCCCCCATGTCATCCTCTTTGGGAACAGCTGGACACAGAGCCAATTCCCCATTGCTGTTCAGCACAGAAGGAAAACCAAAGATGGAACCTGCAGTCAGCAGCCAAGCTGCTGTAGAGGAGCTCAGGACACAAGTTCGTGAGCTGAGGAGCATCATTGAGACCATGAAGGACCAGCAGAAGTGAGTGCCGGGGACCCTTTGCAGCTGCTTGCAGGTGGCCCTCCACTGGACATCCGTGGCCTGGTTCTGCAAGCTTGGGTCCCATCCTACAGAGGGTGGCCCAGACCTTCCCACCGATAATGGCAGCAGAGATGGAAATGGGTGTGGAACTCAGGAGGCTTAATTTATACTTAATTATGCTGTGTGTTTTCTATGCTTGGCCGACTGTGTTCTGTAGAGCACAGGCTGGCCGTGTGGTATACAGGGATGAGTCAGTTGCAAGAACTGACACACTTGGAAGGCTTCGAAAAAGAAAATGAAATCTGCTGGAAAGTATATTTCTATGTTGTATTTTTCATGTATGTAAGTGCACCCATGTCGTGCAGTGCCCATGGAGGTAAGAAGAGGGAGTTGGATTCACTGGAACTGGAGTTACAGGTGGTTCTTAGCTGCCATTTGGGTGCTGGAAATCGAACCTAGGTCCTCTGTAAGAGAAACCAGTGCTCTTAACCACTGAGCCATTTCTCCAGCACCTTCTATGTTAGTCTTTTAAGAAAACTTTAAAATTACATTTGTGTGTGTGTGTGTGTGCGTGTGCGTGTGTGTGTGTGTGTGTGTGTGTGTGTACATGTACAGCAGACAGCTAACAACTTGCAGGAGTCAGCTCTCTCCTTCCACCATATGGGGTCTTGAGACTCAAACTTGGGTCTCTATAGCACCTCAGGCTAGAAGAAAAGCCTTTAACACATGGGCCTTTGCGGATATTCACAGTCCAAGAAATGGGAGTGCATATACCACTTCTTTCTATTTTATTTTTAATTGGGGGTGGGGGAAGTGTGCACATGCATGTGGGCACCCACAGAGGCTAGAGGTATTGTATCCTATGAACCTGGCAGTTGTAGATTGTGTAGGTGCTGGGAACTGAACTTGGGTCCTCTGCAAAACAATACATGTTGTTAACCACTCTCTAGCCCCATACCACTTCTTAAATAAGGTCAACAGCTTGCTTTTCCCCTAGCATTTGGAAAGACTGCAGCATCTTCATTTAGATAGCAGATGAAACACTTGGCTTGCATCAAGGGGGTGAATGTATGAAGGAGGTATAGGGAATCCTTAAACCCATGACTTTTCTCTTAGGAAGATGTCCTCACCATGAGACTCAGGGCTTGCTTTATGCATACCTACATGCATGGTTACATCTCTTAGCCTCTTAGAGCATTTGAATGGGAAGAAAGACCTAAGAACAAAAAACTATTAGCTGTAGCTGGGCATGGTGGTGATGCCTTTAATCCCATCCCCCAAGAGGCCGAGGTAGTGGATTTCTCTGAGATCAAGGCCAGCCTGGTCTACATAGTGAGTTCCAGGCCAGCTGGGGTTGCAGGAAGACCCTGTCTCAAAAAAAGACAAAAGACAAAATAAAAAAGCAAAAAAGATTAGCTGTTAGGCAGAACTTAAACTGAGGCTCTGCAGAGACTAATTTAGGATCAATTAGATCTTTCTGGACAGACTCTCTCTTGACAGGAGGTATCTCAAGGAGGCAGTTCTTGTTTTGAAAAATGACCTAAGATGGCCAGGAGCAGAGAGCTTTTGCAAAGGAAACAGCATATGGATTAATATGCAAGAGAACAGCCTAGTGGGTCAGCCTCTCCCCAAGCACCTGGCCACGTTGGATCAGGAGGTTTATGGGGTGATGGTGAGGGGTATGGCAGTGACAGCCTAGGGGAAGGGGAGTCTGGGACTAGTAGTATCTGATATTGCCTCTTCTCCAAAGATGGATGGCCCTGAAGTATTTTGTAGTCAGATACTTTGGGGGATAACCTGGGTTAAGAAAAGTCAATTTCTTCTCCCCAGGATTTTCCAAAGCCTTCACTGTATATTGGAGAATAGAGAAGACAGAGTATGTAGTTTCCCTAATTCTGTGATCACAGAACTCTTTTTTATAAATAATAATTATTATTATCTTATGTGTATGAGTGTATTGCTTGCATGTCTGTAAGTGTACCCATGTTGTGCAATTCTCATGGAGGTCAGAAGTGGGTGTTGAATTCCCCTGGAACTGGAGTTATGGACAGTTGTGAGCCACCATGTGGGTGCTGGGAATTGAACCCGGGTCCTGTACAAGATCAGCCAGTGCTTTTAACCACTGAGCCATCTCTCCAACCCCCCGCCAGAACTCTTTATCCATAGTGTCCAAGGAATTAACTTCAAGCTATGTAGGTCTAAGCAGATTCTATTCCACCCAGCCTGGACAGTGAGTAAAACTAGGGCTTCTTCAGCTCATATGACTGAAGAGACTCATCAGAGAAATGTGCAAAACTAGCGAGATGGTACTGGAAAGAATCTCCTGGGACCACCCAGGCTCCCTCTAACTGTTCCCCCTAACTCCTTAAAATCCCCAGTTCATACCAGGCTCTAGAAGCCATAGGTTTGGGTATCCAAAGGACATCCATGTCCAGATAACAGGTGTCTTTTGTCTAAACAGTGACCCCATGGCTCCAGGACATCCAGAACATTTTTTCTGAATAGGACCATCTTTGCATCTGACTTGTCTGGATTCAGGGCTTTGGCCTTTTCTACCCTCCAAGGGCTATTCACATGTCTGACATGCCTGAGCTTGACTCTGAGTCTAGAGCCAGCTGTGGTTTAAAGCCGGTGAATAATTGATCAGAATTGTCCTTCCTCAGCCAATATCTTTCTTCCTCAGTACCTCAGGATGTCAGTCCCCTCTTCCAACGTTTGCCTCTCAGAGCCTCTTAGCCAGGTACTTCTGCCCAAATTCCACCTTCCTGGGACTTTGGTGTCACTTTCAATTCAAGTCCATTTCTTCCTCATCCTCGAATGTGCTCTGCATTCAGAGGCAGGCTTTTACCTCCTTACTGTGCCCTGGCTCTTCCCCAACTCCTGCTTTTAGTACAAGAGTTAGTGAGTTTTCTTTACACCTTCTTCCCCAACTGACTTCCTCTGCTCAGACCACAGACCACTTAATGCTCTGTCTGTTACAGTCTTCCTGGGGTTGGACTGCTGATTTAAGATCTCACCATCCACTACTTTCCTAAGCCTTCAAGTGGTACCCAAACAGATATGGATGTATAATGTATGCTTAAATAACCATGCTAATGAATTACAACTGGTTAATGTCAAGTAACCTAGAGTGTTAATAACAGTGCTGGGACATAGTCCCAAGTATGGTGACCATTACAGTGCTCATCTGGAGTGAGCAGACATGCTATCACTGGTATTGTGTTAACTCTGCTATTTCTGTAGTCTTTGTTTTCCATTTTACAAATGTACATGTGTCTGATACCTTAAAACAGAATACAGCTCTTAGACCAATATCCAAAGAACAAAGCCCTGGCTTTGCAGGAAGTAGCTTCATTTCACATCATTGTTTAATGATGGAAAAGGCATTAGGCTGTGGGTCACAGCTCCTATGGGCTATTCTCAGACTTCACAGCTGTATTGTTAATTTAGGTATTTAGTGTCCAATTTTGAGGTCTTAAGTATTTGTAGGATTTTATGAAAATTGGTGAAAACATATCAGTGACCTTTTATTAGCTTAAAAGTCTGTAGAAAATGAAGTATATAAGGAGTGATTAAATGTCTGCAATGGGAGTAGGGAGATAGCTGAATAATAAAGTGCTTGTCATGTAAGTATGAGGACCTGAGTTCAGATCCCCGGCACCCACAGAAAAAGCTGACTGCGGTAGCACACATCTGCAATCCCAGCACTGGACAGAGACAGGTGGATCCCGGGGGCTTGCTGGCCAGCTAGTCTAGGTGAATTGGCACGCTCCAGATTCAGTGAGAGACCCTGGCTTCAAAAATAACGTATAGAGAGATGGAGGAAGATAGCTGACATCAACCTCTGGCCTCCATGTGCATATTCATACACATGCACCTGCCCACACACATGTATACACTGTAATAACAGATAAGAAAGTATGTTTGCTCCATAGTTTCTTTGGAAAAAAGGTCAGATGAATTTTGTAGTGATACTAAATTTTCTTACCGCTTGTTGGGGAAGTTTGGGCTTTTATTTGATTCCATTGTTATTTGCTTTTCAGACGAGAGATTAAGCAGTTACTGTCAGAGTTGGATGAAGAGAAGAAAATACGGCTTCGTTTGCAGGTAGGTCCCTCAGGGTCTTGCTGCCCATGAGGCCTGGGCTGAGGTGGCGATGGAGGAAGTCTGGGCTTTAGGGCGAAACTGCATGAGTGCTGCTGGGTATGGTGTCTCACTGTCACAATCCCAGCACTCGGGAGGATGAGGACAATGGATCACCAGGTGTTCAAGCCCAGCCTGGGTTGTAGAGTGAGATCTAGGACAGCCTGAGGTACAAAGTGAGAACATGTCTCAAGAAAACAGAAAAAAAAATAAAGGATGGCTGCTATGAGAATGTCTTAAAACTGAGTAGTCATTCTCTAGTCATTCCTGAGCTCCAGGTCTTGAGTAAGAAAGAGATTACTAAGCATGCTCCCAGTTGAGCTTCTCATTTGGGATTCATTTTGAACATCTCCTCTATAAAACATTCCCTCCAGTTTCCAAGAGACCCCATCTTACTAATTACCAGAGGACATGGCACTCAGGAGGCCCTGTTGCCAACTGGCTTCCATCATATGGTCCCCGGGACTCCAGGGACCACAGAGCTCCATATTGGTATTGCATTTCGACTTGTTAATTTCTCCCTCATGGCCTTGTCAGCCCTTCCAAGGCCTCTGAGCTCTGTTCCCCTCTAGCCTCTAATCCGACTCTGTCCTGACTTAATGGTAGAAAGTGTAAGTGTGCTCCAAATGACCAAAAACCGACTCTCACCTTTCATCCACTGGGTTCCATGCTGTCTAAAGAAAGCATAGTATTTCTCAGCATCTCATTAGAGTACTGACACCCTCCTGGGCCAATGAAGTTGCCTTCTGACACTGTCCTAACTGCCTGCTCTACTGTGTGGCTAGGAAGCTAGAGTCATTGCTACTTCTGTTAAACTGTGGATCCTAGGAGCCTGAGAATGACGGGGCCCATTATTCCCCAGAGTATTCCACTTGTGCACCTGTTCTTTAGGTTTCTGTCATTTCCAGTGTTGTTGCCAATTCTTCATTCTGATGTCATTTTATCCATTTCACCTCTAATGTCGTCACCTTGAATTTTTTCTTTCCTTTGATGAAGTTGATTACCCTTCCACTTCTCTAAACCCAGCCGTTTCATTATGATTGTGTTTGATCCTTCTCTTTTCCCTTTATAGATGGAAGTGAACGAAATAAAGAAAGCTCTTCAATCAAAATGAATACTTGATCACTGAGATGTTGCATTATTCATCCTGAGTCTGAGACTCAAATTTTCTGCCCCAGCCAAAATAATCTTGTGCCAAAAGATTAAAGGTTTGCCTCAACATGTCCCTGTTCGAAAGATTAGCACAAAAGTCTTGATAGCACAACACAAATTCCATCCAAGAGGGGAGTCTTCCCCATGGTGTAGTCCTGGGTCTGACAGTGGGTGTGATGTAGAACACATTGTGCTAAAGGCTTTTCTACCTTGAGATCTCATGAGAAACGAAAACTCAGGCAGTTTAGTCCATAGTAGTACTATTTTGATGATATTTTCCATTAATAAAATGTAATTTCAGATTATTCGTTTACAAGCTTTATAATTTTAGGATTTTTTAAAATCGTGTTTTGTCACCGATGCCCCTGGTGTTTATACTACACCAAGTCGGAAGCAAGTGTCTTGTTCTTTGCTTCAGGTGGAAAACTGCCTTGCTTTGCGTTCCCCTTTACGATTCTATTACATATGCAATTTTAGGTCCCCTGCCAGCAACCCCACCACCCTAAGAGAAATTCTAGCTTATATATGATGGTATATTTACAAAAAGAGAAAGAGAAAATCTGGTATTTGCAATGATCTGTGCCTTCTTTCTGTCCCCCTCTTGATTGGAGCTTTTGTGATGCAGCTACCATGATGCAAAATAGAGAAAGAAATAAAGAGAGAAAAATCCTGCCACTTATCCTTGTCCACTAGAGGCCACTGTCGTCACAGCTTTTCTCACCCTAAGCCAAAGGTCCTAAAAGGAGACAGCTTGAAATCTGCCCTGCTGTTTGGTACCAGCTGTGATGTTTGAGTTTCTCCTACTTTTAGGTTGTTCATGTAACTAGAAATGTCATCCCTGCTTGATGTTTTCATCAGCCAGGCTAAACCCCTGCTTCCTGTCCTTCACACCTCTTGCGTGAACAGAATATGCATTATTAAAGCAAATAAATAAAAGTAAAATGCAAATGAAAACAAGGGGGGGGAAGTTGTATTATTTCCTGCACTGGATTATCTGTGTGTGTTATCGTTGAAACTGTATTCATACAATGTCATTTGCCTTGCTCACTTGTAACCCCTTCCTTGGATCCAGGAGAATGGGAGGAGGGTCTTGTGGAAATGTAGCTATGGGATCTTTCTGGAATTTATGGAATTGCTTTTCCTTTCCCAATGAAACTGGTGTTTGCTTGTCCGCTTTACCTTCGTAGTACACGAACAGTTCAGCCTTAGACTATGTAACAGTTTTCTCACCCTTAGCTGAAAATAGGGGGCATTCTGGACTTGCAAGATTGTTTATGGGGTAGAGGTGGAGGGGGTGGCCCCTTAATGCCCCCTGAATATGTTTGATGTGTTTCTAAACAGCTGCTTTGTCTATTTCCTGCATTTTATAGTGAAACTACTAAACATCAATAGATTTGCACAACCACAAAGAATAAGAACTAATGACACTGAAGGAATGGTTAAAAAAACTTCATTATTCAACATTGAAAATATAACAAATAAATGTCTCTTCCTTTTTCTTCCTCTCTCCCTTCCCCTGCCTTGCTCTCACCTGCATACTTGTCCTTTATGCCTGAGGCCATTACTTCCCTCACAGTATTCACAGAGCCCTAATGCCCTAGCCTTTCTGGGTGGGGACACAGTTAAGGGAAGGGAATGTATAAAGAAACCATTCACCCTTCATTCCCACATGTGAATACGCCTTTTCTGCAGCCATGGTCTCAGTGTGCTTGGGGCCAGGAGCACCAAGTTTCTAAGAGCAGTGTCAAACATTCCTGTACCCACTGACTGTGCTAAGCCTTTCTGCATTACACTTGAAGCCTTCGGAGATTTCCTGCCACCTATTAAAACAATGAGGATTGGATTCTTTGATGTTTGAATTTCTCATTTACTCATCAAGAAAATCCCTAATGATGGTATAGCTTTATATGATGTGTATACAGAGTAGGATTGCTAACAGTGAAATCGAGAGGTTGGAGCACCCTCATGGGGTGCTGGCAACATGGAATGTAGAGGGCTGGTGTCTTTCCATAATTGAGGCATTGGCTTCCTTTGGTTAAAAAAAAAGAGAGATAGAGAAGTGATTGTAGAGAAAGAAGCTGATATGTCCAGCTTCATTACTGTCCCTTGGGCTAACCAGCAAGAAGATTCTACATCACAGATCTGGATGAGCCACTGCCCAAAACAGCCACCATCTTTACTCTTGACCAAATGGACCCATCAAGAATAATGAAAAGCTTGGAAGTATCACTTTTGAAAAATTAAAATTCTTTTGCATTCAGCATGGACTCAACCAGGCATCTATGGAGATTATTTTTTTGCTTCATTTTCTAAAGTTGTATTTAGAAAAGTCTTAAGTACTGTGCTTTGTAAAAGAAGATGATTAAAATGAAATTTTGTGAAAATATTTTTGTTCAAAGGTGTCATGGTCCAAGAGGAATGATTTCTTGGAACACAAACCCTTTTTCTTTATTTTACACAATTTGATTACCCTGACAGGAATGTCCTTAGAAGACACGAAGTTACCCATTTAAATCTGTGCCTGTGAATTCCGTTTTTTAAATTGTTCGATTTTACATTCCTATCAAAGCATAAAATGCTAGTTAGGTATAAATTCTTTTTAGTGTAAAGACCATTAAATTATCATTATTGGAATAATTGTGTAAAGCCATTTTTATTCGTACACAGCCATCAAGGCAGCATATTCAAGTGCATGGTTTGTTTTCTCCCATAAGAACATCCTGTATCTGTCATCACATGTGTGTCTCTGGTTAGTAATGGTGGGGTTTTATTTCCTTTCACTAGCAGCTCCTCGATGGAAAAGCTACGGGGTGTATAATTTATTGCCCATAGTTGCCATGGTTTGTATAAAAATAATCCCCAGCTTCCATAAAGATTTTTGTATTATACCCTGAGGTCATCACAATCATTTTTTTGTATTAGATTAGGTTGTAGTCCTTCAGTTATTTTTGTACACGCTAATGTCAAGATGTTTCAGCACCAAGAGAGCTTGATGAAAAGCTTTTCCTTTTGGTTCTGTACAAATGAGAACTGGAACAAAACATGAGTGACGGGGTGTTCAGCATGGCTGATTGTGGCATCAGGCAGAGGGAAGGCTAGGTACTTTGGACCTGGCCCACTGACAAAGGTGCTGTACCTAAACTTAGCTCCACAGGGCCAAGGAAAGAAAAACTCTTCCTCACCCAGAAATAAATACCATCAGTATCAGGGCTGATAAGGAAGATCAATCCGTAAGAGGACAAGGACCATGCCTATCACTCCTAGTTCTGTCCCTAGGCTCTCCGAGGCTGTGTTCCCAAGCTATGGATTTGAGGTGGCCCCTGAAGTGAATGAGAATCCATGAAGAAGGTGCAGGTCCCTGTCACGTTTTTTTGTTTGTTTTCTGTGTCTTTTTACTTCATCTGAAATTGAAGTGACCATGGGGGCAGACCATGTGCTCACTGTTTTGTGAACTTGGAATTCACAGTAATAGGTAATGTGTGTTCGTTTGTTTTGAGATAGGATCTCACTCAAGTTGGCCTCAAACTTGGAGGAGTATTCCAGCTTCCACCTCCCACATGCTAGGGTTTCAGATGTGAGCCACCAAGCCCAAGATTGATAATTTATTTCAACCAAATGATGCATCAACATGATCTAGTCATAGATTTTTTTAGCTTATTATTTTTATTTTATGTGTATGAGTGTATTGCCTGCATGCATGTGAGTGCACCTGTGTCATGCAATGCCTGTGGAGTCAGAAGAGGGCGTTGGATTCCTTGGAACTGGAATTTCAGGTGGTTGTTAGCTGCCATGTGGGTGCTGGGATTCATCGCGGGTCTTCTGCAAGAGCAGTCAGTGTTTAATTGCTGAGCCATCTTTCCAGCCCCTAGATAAAATTTTTTAACAGAGTCTCCCTAGTCCCAGCCCACCTGGAACTCACTATGTGGATCAGGAAGGCCTCAATCTCACAGAGATCAGCCTGCCTCTGCTGGGGCTGTCTTTAGTGTGCTATGTCTGAAACATTTTTGTGTCTTTACATAAAGGCAGAATTTCTTGTTTGGCTTGGAACTTGCTATGTAGACTAGGCTGGCCTTGATCTCATAGAAACCTGCCTGCCTCTGCCTCAAGTGTTGGGACTAAAGGCATGTGCCACCACACCCTCAGAATTTCTTGACTAACAAATTCACGAAGTACCGCGGTTTCAATGGCAGCAATTTGCCAGATACCCTCAATTTCCTAGATAATCCTGGCCAAAGTGAACACAAGTTATTATATTTTAATCTTAATCATTGATATTAACTTTCAGGTCACACATTCTGTATTACACAGTAATCAGTATTACATTCTGTATTACACAGTAAACCTATATGTGTAGGTTACAGAATGGCTGAAAAGGGTTAAGAGAACACAGAATACAAGAGGTTTCAGAGGCCTGAGAGGTGGGAAAACTGATAGAGATGTAAATAGAGTCTTTATTGAGAGACCACTACCAGGGGGTTGAGAGTGAAGCTGTAAAGTTGAATCCAGCTGCAGAGGTTGAAAGGGTAGGACTGGGTCCAGACAAAGGAATGGGCGGACAGATGGACAGCATGTCCAGATGGGCAAACAGAAGGATGGGAAGATGGCAGTTGGCTGCACTGTGTCAACAGCAAGGACTGAGCCTATCAGAAGCCCTTGGGTCATTTTGGGAGTTCTCTGCCTATTAGTCCTTGATGCCTACACTGGGTAGTCATCACCTTTGTAGTGCTAGGTGTCTGTCTCTTTATGGGGTTCAGGGGAGGGAGTTAGACCTTTACCATGGACTACTGTGTATGTGGTAAGTTCTTGAGCTTGGTTTCCCTGATCTGAATTAATGTCCATGTGCCCCTACAGTCTCAATTCACACCCAATAAATTTAAAGGGTGCTATCCTTTCCACTCTCAGGAATAAGTCATTTATTAGTCTGTGCTATATAGGTGATGCTGGACATATGGTGCTGTTCATGTATTCTGCCCAGATGCATAGTCATCCTTTATCTTCAAAATGGAGTCTCAGGGTAAGGCACAGTCTGAAAACCCAGTTTTCCGCACCAGAAGAAACAGCGCAGTGTACAGCTTGAGCTCAACAGTGCCGTTCTCTTTAAATAGCAACAAGTTTAACTTTCTCAGATATAATAAAGTCTTGTCTTTGTCTCTATTTTACCTACCTCTATAGAATGTACCTAGTTTTCCAGAAAAGGGGTTTGTTGGCGAGCTTTGAGCTTTGATGGGAAGGTGCCTCAGAAATGCAAGATTTCATACATTTTAAAAACCAACTTATAAGCCAACTTAGCTGATAAAGCCATCTTAAACCAAACACAAACTACAAGGAAATAACATTTTCGAGGTTATTCCCTCAAAACAAGGATGTCTTAGTAGAAAAGAATTCTTCCCAAACTTCATGATAATTTCTTACAATCAGTCTATGAAAACCAAGAACTGGGTGGAGCTGAAGCTCTTTCACTGAATGTTCAAGGGAGACACGTGGCTAGAGCTTGGTTACCTGTGTGAGAAATGTCCACCTCTTCTCTTGCCTTAGTCCCAGGAAGCACTTTGAAATTGTTCTGATTTGTTATCAGGCAGGGTCGTCTCCCCAGAGAAAGTGAATCTGGAATGAGAAGGATGTGCACTGAGAGAGAGAGAGGGAGAGAGAGAGAGAGAGAGAGAGAGAGAGAGAGAGAGAGAGAGAGAGAGAGGGGGGTGGGAGGGGGTGGAGGAGGGGTGGGTGAGGAAGGGAGAGAGAGAGAGAGAGAGAGAGAGAGAGAGAGAGAGAGAGGGAGGAGAGGGAGAGAGGGAGGAGAGGGAGAGAGAAGGAGAGGTCTTAAGTCTTAAAGGGTTGAGAGGGAGAAGTCTCAAGTCTTAAAGGGAGCTTCAGGTCTAGAGGATGTGGGATGGGATTCTGAAGAAGAAAGGCAAAATAAGGTGGAGCTAAGGGTGATAACTTTCATGGTGCTAAAGGGTACTCATTTGCTGTTGGCAAAAGTCTTTCCAATGGATCTCTATTATTGTTTGAAACAGGTCTTCCTGCAGCCCCAGTTGGCCTGGAACTCACTATAACAGACTGGTCTCCAACTCACAGAGATCCCCCTGCCTTTGACTCCTGAGTGCCAGCTTAAATGCATGCACCACCACACTCGGCTGACTCTCCATCTTCTAAAAAGGTTTAGAAGTCCAAAGTTAAAGACTACTGTAGTAGATGCAAATGTAGAACATAGACATTGAGCTTTTTAAATAACTATTTTTCTAACTACTAAGCTAATGTTATACTCAAAGTAGGAAATAAAGAGAAGACAAAAATGAACTTAATCAGAAACTTAAATTATTTTGGTTTCTCAAAATTGAGGTGGCTCTATCTATATAGTTCTATTTTATATTTAATATTTCTTTGCCATAGTGTTTTTCAGAAACATTATTTATAATGGCTACATAAGATTCTGTCTGTAGGTAGAGAAGATGATGTTAAGCCAGTCTTTCGTTGAACATGTATAGAGTGTCATGATGGGTGTTGAATGCAATGCGGTGAAGGAAGAAGAGTCAAGTGGGGGGTTCAAGGTAGGCAAGTAAACAAGCAAATCATTGTAGGCATGAAAACATGGCACAGAAGTCCACAGGACAAAACTTGAGCATTTGCTTCTAGGACAGAAGCCATCAGGTGACATAGAAGTTGTTGGGAAGAGTAAGCTAGATGGCGTGACAGATGGCTGGAGGTTAAGTGTGGGCTGGCCCAAAGTGTGAAGCTCCCAGGGCAGTCACTGAGGCAGGGGTTTTACCCCTTTGCAGACTTGCCTCCAGGACCCTCACATGGCTGTCATAGGAGGACTGGGGAACACCAGAGAAAGATCACAGCAGTGACTCAGGAAGCACTGAGAAATCCACTCAGATCCTGGGAAGGGTATGGGAGGGCTTCGATGATACACCACTGCAGCTGAACTGAAAAGAACTGGCCCAGTGCTCACTGCGCACTCTGCCACCTGCCCTGTGTCACCTAAAATATGCTTTGATCTGTACAGAGAAGGGCTTCAAGTTTA